CAGATAGGCTCAATTAAGGTAAAGGTTGACCTTGTCAGTGAAGATACTGGCCTAGGACGTAACTGCCCACCATAACTGCTTTTAGTTAAAGTTTAATTTCAGACCATCCTTTGTGGTTACTTTAGGTCTGAGTTTGCAAGACTGCCATGCAGGCCTCCCCTGAGCTTGTCAGGTCAGCATGTGGCTCCTTTCGTTCACACCCCTCATCTCTCAGCACACTCAACTGAGGCCCTTTTGGACATGACTTATAATTTACATTTTTAATATGATAATTGAGGAGAGAGTATAGGACATTAATATGTTTGGTAATGGACCCAATGCCCCAGTTATCTAACATAATTAGGAACAAATTGTTCTGTATGAATGAGTTTTGCAGAGATTGAGGCTAACCAGTTAAAGTGGTCGATTTTTGGTGCAAAAGTTCTAATACTGAGAACAGATTTCCTAACTTTTTAATTATAATGGACTTACCAGTGTAAATGAGGTTTCCTCTGTGCACATCGATTGGGAAATTCCTTGAAAGCAAACGTCTTCCTCCATATATTTATGTGGGATATTTTATCCCCCATTGCTCATAGGAGATCCTTAGAAGAAAGACAATGTTTTTTACCCCATGTTTTGGAGAGTCTGAGACCCATAATCTGTGTGGACAAGCCCTCATTGAACACTTGTGTGCAGGCGGCCCGTGGTAGGGGTTCAAGAGGAGAGACCACGCCTTGCCTGGAGGAGCTCACTCCAGTGGAGAGAATGACAGAGTGGCAGATGAATGGCCTGATGCCTTAGGTTTTCATAGAAGTGTTACGGGAAGGGGACTGGCCTAGGGGCAGCTGGTAAGTGTGTGGGTTCTTGACTACGTGCAGGAAAGATTTCACAACATTGGTCCAGGTGATTTTGAGGGTACATTTATTAAAACCGGGGACAGTGATACAAGGAAGGGCCTAAGATAGAAGAAGCTACAGGAGAGAGCCTAGGTGGGGTGGCTTTGGCTCTCTAGAAATGTCATAAGAAAGCAATGAGTAGATGAGTGGATTAAAAAACTGTGGTACATCTACACAATGGAATACTACACTGTGGTAAAAAAGAAGGAGTTCTTACCATTTGTAACAGCATGGATGGAACTGGAGAGCATTATGCTAAGTGAAATAAGCCAATGAGAAAAATAAGTATCACATGATCTCACTCATTTATGGAATATAATGAACAACATAAACTGATGAACAAAAACAGATCCAGTGACAGAGAAGCATTGATCAGACCGTCAAACCTCAGAGGGAAGGTAGGAGAGGGTGGGGGTAAGGGGGAAAGATCAAGCAAATGTTATAATGTACCCCACCAATCACAGAAGGACGCCTCAAGAAGTCGAATTAAAGAGTCACATTTACTACAGTCCGGGACTCGAGGGGGCATTTCGCTCTCCCAAATCTCGAAGTGATTAGATGGCCGCAACACCAGATTTATATAGGCAAAAATCGCAAAGGTATTGATTACATCCCAGGGTTTGGAATGAGGAACCTGGCTCGAAAAAAAAGCAGTTTACAGAAGCAGAGTTAAGCATGTTAATTATAGTTTTGGGTCTCCGGATCACTGAGTTGACAGAAACACATTATCTGGGACCCCTGGGTTGACAGGAACACATTATCTAGAACCCTCAGGTCTTGGGATAATTGTGCTGTCCTGGTTCCCAGGTACAGAGGAATTTGCTTTCTAAAACCAGTAAGATCACAATCAATGGGATATTCACATTACAATCAATAAGGCATTCAATTGAATGGGATGAATTTATATAATCCAGAAAATCAAAATACCCTTTCTATTGTAAACAAAGCAAATAGGCACAGAAAGCCAAACAGCAGGGTGAAAGTTAAACTATTATTTTCTAACTGAGATGACTGCTACTTCACAAAAGGACTTATATGCAAACATATAGGCCTAAGCAATGGATACAGACACAGGGGGGTAAGGGCATGAGTGTGGGGGGGGCGGGTCGGGGGTAATGTGGAGATGAGTTCACATATGTAATAACTTAATCAATAAAGAAATTTAAGAAAAAGAAAGAAAGAAAGAAAGAAAGAAAGAAAGAAAGAAAGAAAGAAAGAAAGAAAGAAAGAAAGAAAGGAGGGAAGAAAGAAAGGAGGGAAGAAAGAAAGGAGGGAAGAAAGAAAGAAGCCCTGGCCGGGTTGCTTTAGCTCTTTGGTAAGTCTAAGAACAGGGGGTCTTAGAAACAGGTTCAGGGGGTTAGCCCAGGACAAGCTGTCACTGACCATTGCTGCCCTGGTTGCAAGTTTCGTGGGGTCCCTTAGAGTTTAGGAGATGCATGCCTGTGGGGGGAGATAGCGGGAAGGAAAAGGCTTGGGTGTGCTCCCCAGGATGGAGCTCTTGCTGGGACTTCATTTTGAGGATTTTTAAAGGCTGGGAGTTGAGGGGAGGTCGTAGGAGAGGATCTCAATAGAATATTCATCATTTTTATGCTGATGTGCCAAAATGAGATTTATTCCCTTAATTTCATCTGTCCTTGGCACAAATGGCACTAATTGGATTTCTGCTCTCCAGCTCCCTTAGTGGGGTGATTTAAACTAATTAGCCTCTGGTTTGGGAGAAGTGTAAGCCATTTACTCTTAAGTGTCTTCGGTTTAGGGAAGATAGGATTACTAGATGGTTGCAAGCTGCTTGGTCATTTATCCATCTCAGTTTCCATATTTCATTTGCCCAGGAATTTTCCTAGCTTCTTACTATCCTGCCTCAGAAGGAGGCAGACGGAGATTTGGCCACATGTAGAAACGAATTTGAATCTGGGCACCCACAATTCTTGGTTCTTAACTTCTCTGAGCCTCGATTTTTTTCCTGTGAAATGGGGACACCAGAGGGGTCTGAGGCTGTGCTAAGATCATGTGTCTGGCCCTGGCCGGTTTTAAGAGCATCGGCCCATGCACCGAAGGTTCTTGGGTTGGATTCCAGGTCAAAGGCACATACCTGGGTTGCAGGCTTGATCACAAACGGGGCACATGTGGGAGGCAACCACTTGATGTGTCTCTCTCACATCAATAAATGTTTCTCTCTCCCCCTCCCACCCCTCTCTCTAAAATTCTGAAACGTGGGGATTCTTACCACAGTATAGCTAGTGAGACATTGTTACTGGAAACGGCTTTGGCTGGGGCTTTGCCTAGGGCCAGCCGGTAGTGTGTGGGTTCCCGACTTTGAGCAGGAAAAGCTTCACAATAGGAGTCCAGGTGAATTTTAGAGGACGTTTATTCAATCTGGGGAACCATGAAACAAGGAAATGAGCCGAGGCTTGTCTGCTTTTGGCTCATTAAAAAGTCAGAGTAAAGGGGGCCTTGGGGACAGGTTCAGGAGTTTTGCCTGGGACTAACTGCTGATATATTTGCTGCCCTGATTGCAAGCCTGGAGACGCCCCTTAGAGGCACGCCTGTGGGGAAAGAAGTTGTGGGAAGAGGTGGGCATGGTCCTGGGAGGGAGAGTGAGGGCTCCTTTGTCTTGATGATTTGATCTCTCTTGCAAGCAGGAATTTTAGAGGGTTTCAGCAGAATATTCGTCCGGTGTGCTCCTTCAGGGTCATGGTCTTCACTGATTTGTCAATGTCAGGGTGCCCTTAGTCACTGCCGCTGGTCCTGGTGTCACCCACCTGGTTTTGCTGCTTTTCTGGGCCTGGAGCTGAAATACAAATGAGCCTAGACCTTGTTATCTCTAGGGAGGTGACCTTCTGTATCTGCTATAAATTACTGTGCCTCTTTGTTCAGCTATCTGTCTCAGTTTCCCTGTTCCATTCATTGGCCTGTCTGAACAGGACCATTATTAGTTGCCATTATGTTTACGAGATCTTGGCTGTGGAGATGGGAGGAGTCTAGGAGTTCCACTCTCAGAAGTAGTTATTGAAAGATCAGACAGAGGCCGAAAACCAGGACTACAGGCTTTATTAGAGGAGAAGGACCTGCCGGGCTGTCTGGCAAGGGGAGGACAGCAGCACGTGCAGGGGTGGGCACGCCTTTCGAGGGGCGGAATGGGAAGGGGTGGGGGGCTTTAGTGTACTCAGCGCACACTGATTGGTGGCTTACTGCATTGTCCATATAGGACAAGGGCTGAGGGTATTTGGCAGGTGTGGATTGGTGGTCCAATGTATAGTCCATATAAGGTACCTGGTTAGTCACTCAGGTATTTCTGGGCTGCAGGTTACATCATACTTCGCCCACCAGTTGGGGGAAGGGAGGATCTATCAGTTATGACTAGAAATCGTCAGAAATTGATGACACTGGTAGGGACAAAGGGAACAGATGTGTGCCACATTGTCACTTCCTTTCAATGCTGAGCAGGTATCTGTCTTCACTGCCTCACTGTGGCTTTGCTACCCTTGACCAGATGAGAAGCCTGAGGCAGAAAGGGCATGGGGTGTGAGGCCAGCTCCCCTCCTACACCAGTTCAGCTCTTTCACCAGAACCCACTTAGGGCAAATCTTTGACCCCTTCAGTTTCCCAAGGGTGGTGGGGAGGCGGGGGAGGGAGGGGGGCGCGGTGCAGAGAGCTGATTTCTGGAGGTATATGGAGCGCCAAGTTTCCTACATTTAAAGTGTTTAAAATAATTTGTCTCTCCCCCTCCTCCAACTCTTCTTTTCGATGCCCAGGTGAGTGCTGGAAGGGGGCTGCAGGTAATCATAATATGAATAGAGCTCCCTTTTTGAGCATTTACTTGGTGGGTCGACCTGTGCTAAACTCCTTTCCTCCCTAATTCTCCCCAGACCCTAATTGGAGACTTCCTGGGCCAGATTCTCTCTTTTGGCCTCCAGCGCCCATTCCATGACCAAGATGCCGAGGTCCGGGAGGGACTTCTCTTGCCGCCCCAGGGGCCTGCCCTTGCCGGGCTCCTTCCGGCCCTGCGGTAAGGTGAGGGCAGGGGCGGGGCTGGGCGGGGCGTGGGGGAGGGGGTTTGGGCCCCAGTTTGGTGACTATATACACTGGTCAGCCAGATCGTCCCACACCTGCCTCCTTCCTATGGGTCAGCTGCCCCTGTGCCAGCCAGTAATGCTGCCGCTTCTGCTGCTCCTGGTACCCGGACTCCTGCCCTGCGCAGGTGAGTGTGGAGTGCGCCCCTGGAGGACCAAGGAGTTCCTGGGACTCCTTCAGCCCTCCCTCCGCCCCAGCCCTGCTCCCACCCCTCTGCAAGAACTCCAACTTACCAGCCCTTTCCAAGGTCCCCGGAGCCCTACTGCCCCAATCCCTCCTTTCTCTGGCTCACTGACACATTTCTTACCAGGTTTCTAAGAGCCTTGTCCCCTGTCCTCCCCAAGAGCTTCCACTCCTCCACTCCTCCCAGGGACCCAAAACTAGGCCAGCCCTTCCCAGGGTCTCGTGTCCTCCCCAGACACCCCCTCCATCACTGTAACCCTCTTCAGCGACCAGACCCTCCCCATCTACCTGTCCTTGGGGTCTGAAGTGGGACTACCAAGGGGACACCAGAGGCTGGAGGAGCAGGGGAAGAAGGGTCTGCCCTATCTGGGGTGGGGGAAGAACATGTGGTTGCCTTCTTACCCCTCCCTAGGCACCACACTGGGAGCGGTCCCCTCAGTGACTGCCCATTTCTGGGGTGCACAGGCACACACTCACAGGGAGATATACAGACACCACATCATATACATACACACCCCCAGCCTCACCTGGGCACTTAGGTGTAGGGCTCATGGACAGACTCACACATAGACACAAGCAAAGATACCCCAAGGAGAACACACACACACACACACACACACCCTCAGGCCCATAGGAATATAGGAAGCCCAGACAGCCTTGGCACTCCTAGCAAGGCTGCTGTGGGCAGACAGAGCAAACAGACCGCAGAGTGACCTGCCTCACCTAAGAGGGAGTGTTTTCCTTGGTTCCAAACCCAGTGCTGGGCCTCTGCCCCATGCTTGGGTTCTCCATAGGGCTGTCCCCAGGACGCTGAGATGCCGGAGTGTGGTTAGGTCAGGGAGGGGGACTTCTGGGGACAGCTGTGGGGTATAGGATTAAGACTGGGGCCCTGTCATATATGCTTAGACTGGGGCTTGGTGGAGCCAGAGGTCAGGGGACCTTTTATGGAAGCCAGCTGTGTGCCAGGGCATCTGGAGCTGCCTGTGGCAGAGATCTGCCCTCGAAGAGCTCCCAGGCTAGAGAGTCACTCCCGGAAGCAGATAGCAGCACAGTGTGACAGGGCTCCTGTGGTCGACCTGAGGGTGAGGCAGACTCTAGGAGGTGACAGGTGAGCTGGGTGAGGATGGGGTGAGGGCATTTGCAGCACAGGATGTATGTGATGGGGAATGTAACTGGAGGAACAGGAAATGATGAGCAGGATGTCTGTGGTGGGCATTCAGAGAGGACACGGGAGAGGAGGGAGAGGCAGGCTCCCGCAGGGTCTCTGGGCTGCAGTGAGGCCCCTGAGCCTTCTCTGAAGGGTGGTTTCAGGCAGAGGTGTGGGCAGCACTTGGCAAATCCCGAGAGAGCGAGCTGGATGTAATTCTGGCCTGTACTCTTAGAAAGAGTCACTGTAGTAACAACTTGTTCTAGAACAGAGACACGATGACTAGATGTAATGCATAAATCTCTGGCTCGGCAGTCCCAGAGCCGTGGAGAGCAGACTCCCAGGAATCAGGCAGGTCTGGGCCTGGGCGCCTGCTCTGAGACTCACCAGCCCTGTGACCCGGGATGGGTCCTTTTGCCTCTCTTAGTCTTAGTCTAAGCCAGGGGTGGGCAAACTTTTTGACTCGAGGGCCACAATGGGTTCTTAAACTGGACCGGAGGGCCGGAACAAAAGCATGGATGGAGTGTTTGTGTGAACTAATATAAATTCAAAGTAAACATCATTATATAAAAGGGTACGGTCTTTTTTTTTTTTTTTTTTTAGTTTTATTAGTTTCCAACGGGCCGGATCCGGCCCGCGGGCCGTAGTTTGCCCACGGCTGGTCTAAGGGGTGCACTGGCACACACTCACAGGGAGTGTGTTCTCTGATGCCCACGTTACAGAGAGTTTGGAGATGCCTGACCCTGAGCAGTGGCCCCCTCGTTGGTGCCCCTCGGCTCTGTCACCCTGGCAGGTCTCCTTCCCCTGCTGTTACTGGGTAAGGAGGACTGAGCACTGGATTGGGAGGCAGAAGCCTGGGTCAGAGCCCCCAATCAGCCAGGTTCTTGTTGGCTGTGTGGCTGTGAAAGGCAGGGGTTCCCATTGCACCTACTGTGCACTGCTCTGTGTCAGAGCCATAACTGGGCTGGGGCCACAGGGCCTCCCTGTGTGGGAGGAAGCTGTGGCTAGGCAGTGAAAGTAAGAGGAGATGGAAAGGGCCCTGAACCAGAGTCTAGATCAGTGGTTCTCAACCTTCCTGATGCCACGACCCTTTAATACAGTTTCTCATGTTGTGGTGACCCCCAACCATAAAATTATTTTCGTTGCTACTTCATAACTGTAATTTTGCTACTGTAAACAATATGTAATTATATATGTGTTTTCCGATGGTCTTAGGCGACCCCTGTGAAAGGGTCGTTCGACCCCCAAAGGGGTCGTGACCCACAGGTTGAGAACCTCTGGTCTAGATGGAAGTGGTGGTGTTGGTGGTGGAGAGAACCAGGGACAGGGAAGCCTGCACAGAGGAGCCCTCATTGGTGGCAGGGACCCTGTTTGTCCAGTGCTCATCACCGGCAATGGGACAGACATTTTTTAAAATATATTTTATTGATTTTTTATAGAGAAGAAGGGATAGGAATAGAGAGTTAGAAACATCGATCAGCTGCCTTCTGCACACCCCTACTGGGGATGTGCCCGCAACCAAGGCACATGCCCTTGACTGGAATCGAACCCGGGGCCCTTTAGTCCGCAGGCCGACGCTCTATCCACTGAGCCAAACCCTTTAGGGCAATGGGACAGACATTTGATGCACAACTTGGACTCTGACCGTGTCGGAAATTGACAAGGGCAGGAGACTGGGAATCAGGGCATTCCAGGAAGAGGGCCCAGCAGTGAGATCTTTCAGAGGCTGTGGCTCTGTGTCTTGTTTTCTCTTTCATGGCTGCCTTGAAGATACTGGTGATAATAGCTAGAGCTTGCTGTGTGCCAGGTGCTTTACATACATGATCTCATTTCATTCTATGAAGCGAGGTGCACTTACCCCCCTAATTTTACAGACGAAGAAAGCAAGGCACAGAGAGTTTGAGTAAGTTGTTCAAGGTCACCCAGCCAGGGACTAGGAGGAGCAGGATTCAAACCCAGGCAGCCATCCAGGCTCTTTTCAGGCCAGTGACCTTTCCCAGGGCCAGGGAAGACCTGACCGGCAGCCTCTAACCTTTGTTTTCCCACAGGCTCCTTGAAGTCACATGTGCACCGACGTGGGCTCATAGAACTGGCAGGGACCGTGCACTGTGTTGGCCCCCGAGGCCCCCTGGCCTATATTAGATACGGCTGCTATTGTGGCCTGGGTGGCCGAGGCAAGCCCCGGGATGCCATGGACCGGTGAGTTTATGCGTGGGCCAGGCTAGAAGGTCTCCCACCTTCTGGGGGTAGTTAAGGCCTATGAGGCAATAGCACGTTTTACTACCTTGGAGGCAGAGGTCCTCCTGGGTAACATTGCCAGCTGCCCCCTCGCTCTGGCTATGCAGCGGTTCTCAACCTTCCTAATGCCGCGACCCTTTAATACAGTTCCTCATGTTGTGGTGACCCCCAATTTCACTGTTACAAATTAAACATAATTAAAGCATAGTGATTAATCACAAAAACAATATGTAATTATGTATGTGTTTTCCGATGGTCTTAGGCGACCCCTGTGAAAGGGTCGTTCGACCCCCAAAGGGGTCGCGACCCACAGGTTGAGAACCGCTGGGCTATGGGATGATTTCTTTGGCCGAAAAAAAACAAACCACAAAACAAAACACAAAACTGATCAGACTTCGAGTGCACCAGAAACTGTTTTGAGAACCCCTTTGAGTCCTCACAACAATCCCACTTCAGAAATGAGGAAATTGAGGCTAATGTTGTGGCCCATAACAAAGAAACAGAATTTCCGGAGGATGAGGCCCAGAAATCAGGATTTTAAAAGGATTCCCAGGTGATTCTACTGTGCAGCCAAGGTTGAGAACCACTGTCTAAGAGCTCTGGTCAGTGAAGAGGACAGGTGTTAACCTTCTTGCTAATGAGGGTCTCATTATAAACCTGCCCTGGAGGGAGGGAACCTGGTTTTATGAGAGGGTGTAACAAGGAGACACTCATAGCCTGGGAAGCAGGGGGCCTGATGACATTCTGGGGGTGGGAGCTGGCACTTAGGCTGAGACCTAAAGGAGGAAGAGTGGGCATGCAGTTGTCCTAGGCAGAGGGCAAAGGCGGGAGGCAGGCTCGTTCTAGCAACAGAGAGGAGAGTGGTTCTGCTGGAGCTCAGAGACCACGGGAGTGAGGCAGGCAGGGGCCAGGCTCAAGCATGGCTGGCGATGGAGGCAGGGCAGGACACACTGAGGTCAGTAGACGTATTTCCCAAGGTAGGATTCTCAGGAACAAAGTTTGGACCAGACGATGCTCACCCATAGTCCTGGCACGGAAAGATGGCCAGGAGAGCAGCCTTCACTCACCTGCTGGTCTGCCTGTTTGCCATCCACAGGTGCTGTCACCGTCACGATTGCTGCTACCGGCATGCCAGTGAGGAGGCTGGCTGCCTACCCAAGCTGCAGCCCTACCCTTGGACATGCAACAATCAGCGCATTGAATGTGGTGAGTTCCCAGCAACACCCACACCAACCTTCCCCAGAGTTCCTGGGGCATCTGCTTGTAATAACTTACCACTGCTTCCAGCTCCCCATAGACCACCCTTTGGACTGATCTAATATAAATGATCTCTAATACTGAACACTTAAACAAATAAACAAAACAACAACAACATTTCTTTCTTTTTATAAACGTTTTAAAAATATATAGTTTTATTGATTTCAGAGAGGAAGGGAGAGGGAGAGAGAGAAACATCCATGATGAGAAAGAATCATTGATCGGCTGCCTCTTGCACGCCCCCTACTGGGGATTGAGCCCACAACCCAGGCATGTGCCCTTGACCAGAATCGAACCCAGGACCCTTCAGTCTACAGGCCAACGCTCTATCCACTGAGCCAAACCAGCAAGGGCCAAAGAAACCCATTTCTTTTCTGTCTGGACAAAAATGGAAAAAGAGAGAAATGACACCAGAAATAAACTACCTAACTGTCCATCAGATGGGGCCTGGGTATATACACCCATGATGTATCCTCACTGTGGAAGACTGCAGCCTGGAGAAGGGAGAAGGTAGAACCATATGCTGACATGGAAAGATGTTGAGTGAAAAAGCAAACTGCAGAATGACATGTTCATTGTGTTAAAAAGAAAAACTTGCAAATAGTACCATACTACTTTCCACAGCTACATGTGGACGCTTGCAAAGCTCAGAAAAATGTAAAGACACACTCCAAACTGAGGATGGCTGTGGTCATTTCTAGGGACAGAACCAGGTTGAGGGGAGTGATGATAGGAGGCAATTTTATGTTCTCTGTCATGTTTCCATTTTTTTAAAAAGATTACCTTCATGAATTATTTGTGAATTAAAAGTTAAAAAGAAAAGGAATATACAGACTGATGGGATCTATGCAAATTACTTTGACATGTAATGAAACAAAATTTAAAAATGTGGGTGGAGGACGGATGGGCAGATTACTTTCTTGGAGATGATACTTACAAGTGAGTGGTTAGTATATCTCATTGTGGTTTTTATTAGCTTTTCCCTAATGATGTTGAGCATCTTCTCATGTGCTTGATGGCCATTTTTATATCTTTGGAGAAATGACTATTCAGGTCTTTTGCTAATTTTTAATTGGGTTATTATTTGTCTTTTTGTTGTTGAGTTATAAGAGTTTTTAATATATTCTGGGCACTGCACCCCTATCAGATATGTGATTTACAAATATTTTTCTCCCATTCTATAGGTTATCTTTTCATTTTCTATCTTTTTCTTTTTCTTGTTAATCATCAGCCAAGGATATTTTTTTCCATTGCTTTTCAGAGAGAGAGAGTGGAAGGGAGGGAGGCAAGGGAAGGGGAGAAACAGAGACAGGAGAGAGAGAGAGAGAGAGAGAGAGAGAGAGAGAGAGAGAGAGAGAATGTGAGAAAGACATACTCATCGGTTGCCGTCCCCGCAACCTGGGGCAGGGAGGAACCTGCAACCCAGGTATGTGTCCTTGACTGGGAATCGAATCCTGGACCTCTAATCACTGAGTCATACCTGCCAGGGCTGTTTTCATTTTCTTGAAAATGTTTTTTGTTAATGTTTTTATTGATTTTTAGAGAGAGAGGAAGGGAGAGGGAGAGAGAAACATGGATGAGAGAGAAACCTCATCGATCAGCTGCCTTCCACACACCCCCTACTGGGGATCGAGCCCGAAATCTGGGCAGGTGCCCTGACTGGGAATCGAACCAGTGACTTCTTCTTCTTCTTTTTTTTTTTTTAAATATATTTTATTGATTGTTTACAGAGAGGAAGGGAGAGGGACAGAGAGTCAGAAACATCGATGAGAGAGAAACATCGATCAGCTGCCTTCTGCACACCTCCCACTGGGGATGTGCCTGAAACCAAGGCACATGCCCCTGAGCGGAATCGAACCTGGGACCCTTCAGTCCACAGGCTGACGCTCTAGCCACTGAGCCAAACCTGTTAGGGCCGAACCAGTGACTTCTTGATTCATGGGTTGACGCTCAACCACTGAACCACACTGGCCAGGGCTCTTTTCATATTTTAAAAAAATATATTTTATTGACTTCAGAGAGGAAGGGAGAGGGAGAGAGAGATAGAAACACCAATGATGAGAATCATTGATTGGCTGCCTCCTGCAGTCCCCTACTGGGGATTGAGCTCGCAACCCAGGTATGTGCCCTTGGTCGGAATTGAACCCAGGACCCTTCAATCCTTAGGCTGATGCTCTAGCCACTGAGCAAAACCAGCTAGGGCTCATTTTCTTGGTAATGTTTTTAGTTCAAAAACGTTTGTAATTTTTGGCCCTAGCTGGTTTGGCTCAGTGGATAAAGTGTTGGCCTGCAGACTAAAGGGTTCCTGGTTCGATTCCAGTCAAGGGCACATGCCTGGATTGCAGGCTCAGTCCCCAGTGGGGGGTGTACAGGAGGCAGCCAATCAATGATTCTCTCTAATCATTGATGTTTCTATCTCTCTCTCCCTCTCCTTTCCTCTCTAAAATCAATAAAAAAATATATATTTTTTAAAAAGTTGTAATTTTGGCCCTGGCTGGTTTTCTCAGTGGTTAGAGCATTGGCTCTCAGACTGAAGGGTCTTGGGTTTGATTCCCAGTCAAGGGCACATACCTGGGTTGCGCATTTGCACCCTTCCCCCGTCCCCCACCCCAGTCAGGGGCATGGGCAGGAGTCAACCAGTGGATGAGTCTCACATGGATGTTTCTCTCTCTCTCTCTCTCTCCTTCTCCTCCCTCCCTCCCTCCCTTTCATTTTCTCTAAAAATCAATGGGAAAAATATCCTGAGGTGAGGATTTAAAAAAATGTAATTTTGATAAAGCCCAATTTTTCTGTTTTGTCTTTCTTTTTAAGTCCTTATCTGATATTTTCCCTGTTAATTTTTAAAGAGAGTGAAAGGGTTTAATCCACATGCAGGATTAAACCTGCAACCAAGGTACATGTCATTGACCAGGAATGGAACCCAGACCCTTTGTTCTGTGGACCAACGCTCTAACCACTGGACAACCCTGCCAGGGCTATTTTGTCTTTTCTTGATCATGTCTTTGATGTCCTATCTATGAATCCATTGCTAGATCCAAGGCCATGAAGACTTATGTCCCTGTTTCCTTCTAATAGTTTTATCATTTGAATCTTGCATTGATCCACTTTGAGCTGATTTTTGTAGATGGTGTGTGATAGAGTCTAACTTCATTGTTTTGCATGGACTATCCAGTTGTCCCAGTACTGTTTGTGGAAGAAACTCTTCTTTCCCTTGTTGAAAATCTCTTGGCCCTAGAAGGATGACCTCTCCGGTCCTCAGTTGCCTTACCTGGAAGATGGGTGTAGCAAAGATGAAAAAAGGGTTTATAATGTGGTAAACAGATTGGACAGAGGTTACTACTCTCTCCCATCTCCTCTCCTCCCTCTCTCATCCTGATCTGAACCTCTCTCTGACCCACTACCTCCCACTAGAGAAAACTGAGGTTCTGGTGTGACTTTCCACTGGAACCCTAGCTCCTGCAGCGTGGTCTGTTCCGGAGGAAAGGAGGCAACTAAGAGTTACGAGAAGGATGGTCTTAGATAGGCACAGATCCTCAGCCATATCTCCTCAGTATGACTTAGGAGCTGGCATAAGAACAAGGCTGACTTAATATTGAGAAATAATATTAGTGTTTAGGACTGAAAGTGCCCCAGACGTCATCTCGTCCAGCCCTCTCATACAGAGTCGGAGACACTGAAGCACAGGGAAAGCAGTGACTTGCCTGACGTGGTGGTGATGTGCCTACTCCTGGGCACATTCCCTGTCCCCAAACTGCCCCTTCCGGTGTGGGCGGGGAGGAGGTGAAATGGGGGTTGAGTTGGAAATCTTAAAGATCTTCCCCTTCTTCCCTTCGACTTGCCCCTAACCATGTTAAAATGGAATTTGTAAAATATTTGTCGATGGGAGTCTGTGCCTGTTTACAGTCCTGCCCTCCCTGAACCAAATGAAGAGAACCAAAATACCTATTATACATTTTTGACTAAAAATATTCTCTTATTCTGTTTGGAGATATTCTGAACATAGTTGTTTATTTAATTACAGGTGTGGCCCATTTTCCATTTATGGGCCTGACTTAAATATATTTTTAAAATGTTAAGCATATAATAATATTTACTGGTAGGCCTTTATTTTAAACTTAACCCGTGGGAGCTATTTTTCCTTTTAAATTTTTATTATTCTGGAATAACATGATGCTGTTAGGTTCCTGAGGCTATGGAGTAGTGAGACCAAGTCTTGCTTTTGAAAGAATCTTTCTTGCTCAGAGGTGAGGGTGGGAACAGAAGGGAGGTACAGGTGCTGGATTGTTGGGGTCCAGCCCCAGCAGGTCCAGGGGTTCCCAAAGGTGTGGATGGAGTCGGTGAAGAAGGAATGACACGGAGACAGCGTTCAGTTGATCAGCATAGCAGGATTCTCTCTTTATTCTCCCTTTATTGTCCTGTTACAACTGTATTTATAAGCATGACATAATGGTATGTTTTGGGTCCTCCCTTGGCCTTCTACAGTTCCTGGTTTCATGTCTGTAGTTTCTTATCTGACCTTTGCCAAAAATCCTGTCTCTATCTAGTTCTGTTGAGTTTAATCTTGTCTAGGTTAATCTCTGTGATCCATTATAAGGGCTATTCTAAGGTCACTATTCTGCTCTACTGATAAGCTACAAGGAAGTGACTGAAGAAGATTATCCTACCCAGTAAAGGTTATGTCCTCCCAGCTCCGCTGCTTGCCTTCCCTGGGACTGCCCTGTGTCGGTGGGTCTCCAGGGGTATAGGCTTTGGTGCTTTCCCTGGTGGGCAGACCCCTGGGGATGTGGGCCCAACAAGTCCCAAATTTACTGCCAACAGTCTTAGTCCAAGTTCTTCATAAGTAGTACATGGTATTTTGTAACACTAGGGGGTTTTACTGATTCATTCCCTTCCTTAGTCCTGTTAATTCCTAACTCCAGGGAAAAATCCCCACCTGGGGAAACAACCTTTCTTGGGGAGGTGGCCCTGGTTAGAACACATAGCGCTAAGAAGGGGAGCAAACATATTAAGAACAGTATGCCAGGTCCCTTGAAACATATGCTGTGCAGATGTTTCTTCCCTGCAGCGACTGTGTCAAGCAACAAGGATGGACCGGCTTCCGGCACTGGATCAGGAGATCCTGGGCTGGAGTCCTGGTCCACCCCTTCCCAGCTCTGTGTCCTTGGACAAGTTACTGAATTCCACTGAGCCTCACTTTACACATCCATAAAATGGAAATAGTAAAAATTAGATGCAGTGTTTGTGTGAGAATTGGAAATGATGTGTGGCTTTTTCATATTCTCTCAACAAATATTATTGAGAATTTACTCTGTGCCAGCCCCTATGTTAGGTTTTAGGTAAGACAGAGAAGTGTAGCCCAGCTGGTGTGGCTCAGTGGTTGAACGTTGACCCATGAATCAGGAGGTCATGGTTTGTTCCCGGTCAGGGCATATGCCGGGGTTTTGGGCTCGATCCCTGGTAATGGGTGTGCAGGAAGAGGCCAATTAATGATTCTCTTTCATCATTGATGTTTCTCTCTCTCTCTGAAATTAATAAAAACATAAAAAATAAAAGAGACAGAGAAGTCTAAAAGGAGGAGAATGGGAAATTGTCTCTGTGCCAAGTGCTTTTATAACTGCTGTGTCAGAAAATAAAGCAGGTGAAGTCCTTACCTGCTACAACATGGATGAACCTTGAAAATGTGATGCAAGGAGCTAAGTGCAAGAAGACAGACACAAAAGATCACGTGCTATATGATTCCAAGTGTATGAAATATCCAGAATAGGCAAATCTATAGGGACAGAAGGCTGATTAATGGTCGAAGACTCAGGAGAGGGGCATTGGGGAGCAACATCTTAATGTGTACAAGATCTCTTTGGGGTGATAGAAATGTTTTGGAACTAGATAGAGGTGATGGTTGCCCAATATTATGAATGCACTAAGCCCCACTGATTTGTGCACTTTCAAATGGTAAATTTTGATATGGGAATTTTTCCTCAATAAAAAAGCAGGGATGCAGGGTGGGGATATTCTTTTATATTGAATGGTCAGATTAGCTGGCAACTTTAGCAGGTCAGCTTCAGCTTACTAGTGCCTCCCGTATCCCCTGCATTTTACTGATTTGGTCTCTTCCCATTCTTCCAACAGCCCTTAGGAGTAGGTGCTATTAGTATCCCCGTGTTGCACTTGAGGAAACAGCCTAGGGAGGGTGAAGTGATGTGTCTATAGGCACATATCTACTACATGCAACGTTGATTGAGTGCAGGTTCAGTGCCAAGTCTCTCCTGGGCAGGCTTCCTCACCCAGGCTTCCCAGTAATCCTGCCAAGTGGATAATGCCCCATTTAAATGAGGACTTGACTCATTTAGGCAAGATCACACAGCTAGGAAGCAGCAGAGCAGGCATTCCCCCCCCAAAAAAAGGCCTGGATGGTTCCCTACTGCTAGTCTCAATGGATCCTCAAATGAAATTGTGTAATATTGATACGAAAGAGAAGCTAGAAGGTCAAACGGACTTTGGATGCGGCACCTCAAAACACTTCTCTGACAACTTCAATTTCCTTTTCAGCAAGATGGGGCCAGTATCACCTCCCTCCTGGAGTTGCCCTGAGGCTGGAGATCACATAGTGAATTGTCAAGTGTCACTCACATGCAATTTATGACCCTTACTGCCAACAGTGTTACCAGTTTCCCTCCTGTTTATCCTCAAGTCTCTGCAAGCTCCTGCTCTAACCTCAGTTTCCCCATTTCTTCCAGGACCGACAGAGGATGAATGTCAAGAACTCTTGTGCAAGTGTGACCAGGAGCTTGCTTACTGCTTAGCCCAAACCGAGTACCATTTAAAGTACCTCTTCTATCCACGTTTCTTATGTGGGCACGACCCGCTCAAATGTGACTGACTAGTTTGACTTGAAATGTTTCGTACAAGGAAATAAAACTCTTTTTTTCACTAACCAACAGCCATATTCAGTTCATATTCAGAGGGGAACTGAGTTAAAGTGTTAAAGGTGCAACCTGTGTTTGTTCTCCCTCCCTCTCCAAACCTGGGGCTGGAGCCTGTTTGGCTGCCAGTTTGACTAAGGTCAAAACCCCATGCCTATTTACAAAACCATGACGGTGTTTATGACTGTATTGGGTCTGGTACCATGTTTGAGGTTCGACCTTTATGAAAAGGCTGAGCTTGTCTTCTAACCTGCTCTTGATGAACAAACACCTGCTAAGTGCTGGCCTTGTTCTAAGTCCTGGGTTGAGGCAATAAATAAGATGACCACATGACACCATCCACCCTTGTGAAGTTCAGGTCTAGTAATTGTTAGCTCAAGAAAGAGTATTCTTGCCCATCCTACTCCACCTTTTTAAAAAAAATCCTCACCTGAGGATATTTTTCCCCCCATTGATTTCTAGAGAGAGTGGAAGTGAGGGAGGAGGTGGAGAGAGAAACATTGACATGAGAGACACATTCATTGGCTGTCTCCTGCATGGGCTCCTACCTGTGCTGGGGAACTTGCAACCAAGGTACAAGGTACATGCCCTTGACTGGGAATCAAACCCAGAACCTTTTAGTCACAGACCAATGCTCTAACCACTGAGCAACCAACCAGGACCATCCTACTCCACCTTTACTAGTTAAAATTTATTTCCTGATTACAAAAGTATTATATACTCACTGCTTTTTTAAAAAGGCAAATACAGAGAAATATAAAGGAGAAAAGAAATGATCCCATTTCCCACAAACCATAATAACCACTTTTAGCATTTTAGTTGGTTGTCCATCAGTCTTTTCTGTAATTTAAAAAACTGTAGTTGAGTCCTGGCTGGTGTGGCTCAGTTAGTTGGGGATCATTCCATGCATGGAAATTGCTGGTTCAATTCCTGGTCAGAGCACATCCCCAGGTTGTGGGCTTGATCGCTGTTTCTCTCTCCCTTCCTCTCTCTAAAAATCAACAAACTATTCTTCTTTAAAATGTAGTTGAAACTCTTGTTTTTCATAAGCTTTTTTCCATATTTGGAAACTCCATTTTTGTTGTTAATTTCACCCAAGAAAATATTTTTTCCCCATTGATTTTTCAGAGAATGCAAGGGAGGGGGAGAGACACAGAGAAACATCGATGTGAAAGACACATTGATTGGTTGCCTCCTGCATGTGTTGGGGATCAAGCTTGCAACTGAGTTATGTGCCCTTGACCAGAATCGAACCCACAACCCTTCAGTCGCAGGGCAACGCTCTAACCACAGAACAAAACTGGCCAGGGCTGGAAATCCCATTTTAAATAGGTATTATGTACCAGTTTATAAATTGCTAACTTTAGAGTATTGGTGATTTCCTATTTTGAGCAATTATTCATGTGTTGGGGATTCTTTGAATAAATCCGCCAAATCCCACTGCCCACCTTTTCATTGTCCCTTAACTCAGATTTGCAGAAATGGAATTCTTACATCAAAGGGTCTGAATATTTTAAATGGACACCCTCTGTTGATGCATGTAAACCTGCTGACAATTAGTGACAGTCCAGCCCAGCCCATTTGCTCTAGGCCAGGTCTCCTTTGCTCTCCCCTGAGCAGATGTGGACGGCACCCTCTTTGAAGCAGAATATGGGGAGTGGGTGGGGGACACTGGTCTAGGAGTCTGGCAATCTGTAGTCCAGCCTGGGTCCTGCTCCACTAGTGCCACCCAGTCTCCATCTCTTTATCTGGAAAGAATAGTAACCCCTCAAGGCAGGAGACCAGGGATGTGAAAATACTGCAGTGTCCCCAAACTTGCAGTGCCGCCAGTGTCTCTGGCAAGTCATGGGTGTTAAGCAGGTAAAGTCAGGCAATCCTGGGGCCTGATGAGCAAACACAGGAGGAAGAAAACATTTTCTCTCCTTTCACTTAAGATACTTTAGGCCGACTCCTTGGCTCAATGTTCCCATCAGGCAGGGAGACTTCAGCATGACTAGTAGGTTGTATTGAGCAATTCAGATCTTCATCATGTTTTCTCAACAATTTTTTTCTACAGAAGTTTTGTCTTTATAAAAAATATTTTATTTTTATTTCAAGTAATTTTTTAAACTTTCAGATGCAAAGTTTGAGTGAAATCTTCAAAGATACAAAGGATTAATGAATGTTTCATGGAGTCACAAAGAAACCCTTTGGATGCAAGGCCCATCATGGATCACATTAGAATGAAGTAAGAGGCATAGTTCATCTCATTCATATTTACAATTACATCACTTGGTGTAATTACACTTGCTGTTTTATACATCAGAACAAGATGATAGAGATTATACAGTGTGAGGTCAATGTATAAAATGCTTCATTAAACAAAAGGACTATCCTGGATTTTGGATTAAATTATTCAAAACAAAGCAAACCCCAAAACAAAACCATTTTTTAAATCCTCACCCGAGGATATGCTTTTAAAAAAATTTTTTTTAAAACTGATTTTAGAGAAGGGAGAGAAACATCAATGTGAGCAAAACATTGATTGGTTGCCTCCTGTACAGGCCCAGACTGGGACTCGAATCTGCAACCTTCTGGTGTACAGGATGACGCTCCAACAGAGCCACCTGGCCAGGGCCAAGGCAATTCTAAGTGGCACTGAGGCAGCACAGCCTGACATCCCACTCAATCCCCCCATTCAGAGAAAGGGATCCAAACTTTCAATGATTAGTAGAAACAGGATGAGTGTAACCATCATTCTAGTCTCAAATTGCATCTTCAACTTCTTAGCAACTCTTCAATAAAACAATTGTCTACTGGATTTTGGTTTTTCCTCTGTATTTTTTATGTGCAACTGTCTATGCCTATGACAAAGTCTTCTCCCATTTTCCTAAACTTGACTTAGAGGACAGGCCTGGCCCCAATAAGCCAGATCTTGGGCTGAGTCTCAGAACTCCAACTTGCCCTGGGAGCCCTTGTCAGTCACTGAGGTTAGGACTGCTGATGTGGCAGCCTTCTGATGTCGCCCACACCACATCCTCTGAGGACCCTGGTTCCTTGCAAGCTGTAGTGGACGGGGCCTCCCAAGTTCCTGTGAGCAAGGAGGCTAGGTGGGAGGTGCTGCTGCTGTGTCGGCCCAGCTTTGGGATGTCAGTCCCTGCTGCCACAATGACATAGGCAGAGGGAGAGAGGACCTGGTTGTAGGCTTTGACAGAGAAAGCAGCACCTTGTTTAGTAGGGAAAGAAAATAGGAAGTTGAGCGCTCCCAACCCCTCTTCACTCAAGCATCAAAGCTCAGACGTCAGGGAGGCTGGAGGAGTCCCTCAGAGCAATGGGCAGTGCCATTCAAAAAACTTGGGTTTCCAGCCGTCGGACTTCCTTGACCACAAGATCAATGTTAATAATTGGGTTAAAGTACAGGGCCCAGTAAAATAAACAGTTGCAAACAAACTGAGGAATGAGGGGCCAGAACATGGCCACAAAAAGCCCCTGTGTTGATACTTTCCAAAAATGGCTCCACATCCTCTGAGGCACAGTCCTGAAAAAGAAGAGAAGCATTTGAGAGGTGGAAGAGTGCTGGCAATTCTAAAGACAACACCACAGTGCTCAGACTTTGGCTGTCTCCCAGTGCAGAGTCAGGTGGCTTGGCTGCAGAGACCTTACTTTCTGTCCCCACTGCCTGAGACACAGCGTTGCCTGACTAATCCATCTTCACCTCCCAGGACACAGCCTAGATGGTGCTTCCCCAGGGCACTATCTACACCAGGTGAGGCACCCCATTTCAGCCCCAACTCCACTTGCTTCATCGCTGTGTCTCATTTGTCTATACTTAATATACATATTTTCTCTGCGAGGCTGTAGACCTTCAGAGTAAAGACTGTCTTCATTACCAAAAGATCTGCAGTGCCGAGAAGAAAGCCGGGGCAGAGGAGGGGCTCAATTAACTGTACATGAAGAACGGAGTTCACTGAATTGAAATAAATGAGGGAGATTCTTGTCAGGTTCTCAGAATTATTTATAAGGCTGCTCCTGATTGATGAAGCCAAGACCTTGTGAGTTATATAGGATATTTTAGACTTCAAGGATACTGTGGTAATGTTACTTCTGCCTGCCAAGCAGCCATTCCCTTTCTTCTAACAACACCTACGTTTTCCTTTGGGGTGCCTCCCTCCCGTATTCTTTTCCATGTGGTCTGGGTGGGGCTGAAGCCCCTGGTGGGGGGATGAGTACATACTCTGAGCCTGGACAAGGAGAGCCCCACATACCCCTGCACCAAGTGATGGGTTCAGGTGAGCATGTGACCCAGGCTAGGCCAATCAGAGTAAAGGCACGTGAGCCCTGAGACTCATGAGTACTATAGGGAAAGAAGTGCTCTCCTTCCACAAGGTGCTAAGCCAGCCGTGGGCAAACTACGGCCCCGGATCCGGCCCGTTTGAAATGAATAAAACTAAAAAAAAAAAAAAGACCGTACCCTTTTATGTAATGATGTTTACTTTGAATTTATATTAGTTCACACAAACACTCCATCCATGCTTTTGTTCCGGCCCTCCGGTCCAGTTTAAGAACCCATTGTGGCCCTCGAGTCAAAAAGTTTGCCCACCCCTGTGCTAAGCTGTCCCATCTATGCCTGGAATGACCCAAGGCCCCCACTTAAAGAGAGCTGCCTAAGGCTGAACAGGAAAGAGCAGAGTTGCAAAAGGGAGACCGTCAGTTCGGATGGTAGCATTTAGGTCTCTGCATTCAGCTATGTGGGAAGCCTTAACTAAGTATTTTGCTTTTTAGGAAAGCCAATTTAGATTGGTTTCTGTCACTTCACTTGCAACCAAGAGTACTAAGTCAGTGACCGTCTCCAATTCTCATTTTAGGCATTAATCCAAAGCCCTTATTACTGTTCCAGTGGCAGCAGAGCAGGATTAGAACTCATGCCCACAGGATTTCTCACCAGATCTCCTTAAGCTTTACGATAATGCTGTTTTTTTGTTTTTTGTTTTTAATAAAGCACCTTCTTTTTCCCACTTGTTTATCCCCTTGTTATTAAAATCTTTCATGTACAGCCTCCACTCCCAGGAATTATATGGTAAGGTATGGGATAAGATATATGGAGAAACACTTTAACAATAAGCACCATGAAAACCTCTCCACCCTGCTACCACAAAGTAACTTTTCCTATTTGCTGCTTAAGTAAGTGTTTCAAAACCAGAACACTAGGAGTCTTTGTGTCTAAGTAATACTTTAGACATCTTTTCCAGTCCCCATTGCTCCAACCATATCCAATATAAAAACACACTTACTTCAGTTCACTTCTTGACCAGATCCTCCAAAAAGAGAATAATTCCAGAACCGACAGTAACATGGCATTGACGATGAGAAACCGAGACGTCCAATAATGGACTTCCAGCCAGTCCCAAGCAAATTCAGCAATCAGCTGGTACGGAAGGAAGGAGTATTTGACAAGGAATTCTCTCCACTGCTTCCATGTGGGCTCTCTAAGATCCTTTAAAAATAACACACAAATAAAAAAGGATACAAAAAATTATGAAGATTGACTTTTATACAAAATATAATATTGTGGTTATTCCATTGAGCTTTACATTTATTAAAACAAACACACACACACACACATACACACACCCCCTCAAACCATCTAAAATGAAATTTCCATCAACTCACCTTGTAATAATTAATCTTACATTGGCTAAATATTACCAAAGAGGTTGAACTGAGATGCTTGTTACATAATTCTAGAAGTTCAGAAGCAAAAAAAATTCTAATCATGAGTTATAAAAGATGGGGTTGATATAAATTGAAATTAACCAGTTTTATAATTTCATCATCACTGCATGTGTACCTCATTTCCTAAATTCAACATCTTAGCTGTGGTAGAAAGTTAACAAGTCATGGAAAAATTTAACACAAACCTTGGAAAAATAATTTTTGGGAAAATAAAAAGTTTGATTACAGATATTAGCAGATAATTAACAAAAGTATTTAAATAATTCATAGGCATCCAGAAGTTAATAGAAGTTCAGCAAGACTATGCAATGAGTATTCCAAGAAACAAGTTAGCCCGATGCACAGGCAGGGGTTGCTGGGGCTTGTTAAAATGGAAAGGTCAGATGGGTTTCTAAGCTCCAGTCCAGCAAGGGCAGGTAACAGCTGGAAAGTGGGTAGAGAAACATTGTGCAAAGGGGCTCATCAGCAGGCTTTGAACGATATCCAAGGCTGAAGTCAGGTAGGATACTTGCCTAAAATGTTTTAAAAAGGATATTAGGAGATTTAGGAATTCTATTTCAACATTTATGGGTGTGGATCATAAATGACAATTCCTATATCCATGTGACTTTTTGATGTAAACAGATCAGAGGGATTTCCCCAAGAACAGCAATGCAAAGGACAATATACCCTCAAAAAACCAACTAGACAGAAGAAATCACCTAGTCAATGGGATCCACCAATAACTCTGAAGGATCCATGGGTCAAACTGAAGAAACAAGAGCCATGATGGGCAACCATTTCAGGTTACAAGAGGACTCCCATCAGTGAGCTGGATGCTGGCTTACTGTTATGGCCAATAGGACAAATACTATCCCTGTCTGTGGTAACACAAGTAATCATTCATCCTTTGGGGATCCTATTGAAAGACAGATTACCAAGCTAGCAGACTCACAAATCTAACCCTCAGGCAATCTGGACCTATCCTATGTTGTATAAAAGAAATGCTGGTTTTCCCCGCTAAACATTTCAAATCCAGAGGATAGCCCCTCTTGCTATGCAATATGGGAAACAAAATAGGCTTCTTGGGGTGGAAAAGATCCTTTTTTTTAAAAATCCTCACCCAAAGGTATTTTTTCCATTAATTTTTTAGAGAGTGGAGGGGAGGGAGGTGGAGGAGAGAAAGAAAACATCGATCTGAGAGAGACACATCTATTGGTTGTTCCTGCATGCACCCTGACCCTGAATCAAGCCTGCAACGTAGGTGCCCTTGACTGGGAACTGAGCCCACGACCCTTTGGTTCTCGTGAGCTTATGCTCCCACCACTTAGCCAAACCAGCCAGGGCAAAAGTCCCTTCTTTATTTTCTCTTGCAGAGGATCTCCTTGCAAAATCCAAATGAAAGCCGGAGTTGTTTACTCTTCATGACAAGCTACAGCCATGTCTCCAGTTCTGCACCACACTGAGAAATGGTAGAATAATTTCATTCAAGGCACTGCAGACCTACCAGAAGTTTGGTGAAGATGTCTTCCTCAGAGCTGTCTTCTTGCAGAGGACAGATGGTGTGGATGAAGGGTAGGAAGGTGTCTGTGTAGTCAAACAGGTAGAGGTACAGCAGACCAAGTCTGGGGGAACTCCTGAGGGCATACAGCAGGAACAGGGACCTGCCTGGGTTCACAGCCTGCAGAAGACAGTGAGCACAAGGTCATGTTACAGCCTGGCAGCCAGTCCCCACCTATGCTCTGTCTGCAACCTCACGCCCCTTGCCATCAGCCATTTTTTGCGTGGTTTGCATAAACAATGAATGGAGAGAAGAGGCTTAGTTATATAAAGATCCAACCTCTCTCCACAGCTAGGGAAGGGAGAGGGGATGAGAAGCATACTCCGAGGCACTACTAGTAGAACACAACCTTTTTAGAAAGCAATTCTGCAAAATGTATCACTCTTTTTAAAAAAATATATATTTTATTGATTTCAGAGAGGAAGGGAAACAGAGAGAGAGATAGAAACATCAATGATGAGAGAGAATCATTGGTCAGCTGCCTCTTGTACGTCCCCTACTGGAAAATAAGCTCACAACCTGGGCATGTGCCCCTAACCGGAATTGAACCTGAGACCCTTCAGTCCACAGGCTGTCCCTCTATCTACTGAGCCAAAGAGCAAGGGCCAAAGTGCATCACTCTTTTTAAAAAAAAATTTTTTTTTTTTATTGATTTCAGAGAGGAAGGAAGAGGGAGAGAGAAACATCAATGATTAGAGAGAATCATGGATCGGCTGCCTCCCACACGCCCCCTACAGGGATTGAGCCGGCAATCCGGGCAAGTACCCTTGACGGGAACCAAACCTGGGACCCTTCAGTCCTCAGGCCGATGATGTATCCACTGAGCCAAACCAGCCAGGGCAAAGTGCATCACTCTTAAAAATGTTTTCATTTAACCAATTTATTAGTAGGCACTACTTAAACATATTCTGAAGTGAAGAAGGTCTTATGTACAAAATGCTTAGCATTGCATTGTGTATGACAGAGAAAAAATAAGATATGCAACCTAAGTAATAAAGTTCAGTAGATATTTAACCATTGAAAAATGAATATGAAAAGTTTTGGAGAATGCTCATGAACAATGTTAGGTGAAAAAAATATTCAAAGATGTGTAGCATTCTGATCTCAATGGTATCTGCACCATGAAAGCAAGGCCTTGTTCAGGGCTGAGATCCTTTTCCTAGTGGAGCACCTGGGTCACACCACTTGTCAATAAACATTTGCGGAATGAATACACACAAAAGAACTGTTTAAACCAGGGGTGGGCAAACTTTTTGACTCGAGGGCCACAATGGGTTCTTAAACTGGACCGGAGGGCCGGAACAAAAGCATGGAGGGAGTGTTTGTGTGAACTAATATAAATTCAAAGTAATCATCATTACATAAAAGGGTACGGTTTTTTTTTTTTTTTTTTTAGTTTTATTCATTTCAAACGGGCCGGATCCGGCCCGCGGGCCGTAGTTTGCCCACGGCTGGTTTAAACTATGCACAGAAAATTTTCTAGAATAAAACAGAGCAAAATGCAATGCTAACTGTCTGAAACTCAGGTAGGATTATGGCAATTTATTTTCATTTTATTTACTTTTGTAAACTTTGCTACAATGAAGTGTACTCATATTTTTCCTGATTGTAAAAGTAACTAAAATAATTCAACTTACTTTATGCTACTAAGAATCAAACAAAACGGGCAAAAGATATGAATGGACACATCACCAAAGAAAATGTAAGGATGGCAAATAAGCATATTAACGCTCAGTCGACCAGTCATTATGACGTGCACTGACCACCAGGGGGCAGATGTCAATGCAGGAGAGGTCCCCTGGTGGTCAGTGCGCTCCCACAGCCAACCTCCCTCGACCTCCTCATCCCCCACCAAGAGGCCCTGATTGCCAGCTAGGTCAAGGGACTCTACCTGTGTATAAATTCATGCACTGGGCCTCTAGTGCTTTAATAAATTCTCAGGATTAGGGGTGTGGGGAGGGTGTGAAGAGGGACAGATGAAATAAGAATGCCCATGAGTCAATACATGTTGAATTTGCATATGAATAAATTCTTCCTTCTATTTTTGTTTATACATAAAGTTTTCTATAGTAAAAGATTACTTTAAAAAGGAACAACTTGTGAAATGGCTGATTCCAGATTTGGGTACAGAAAGGTACAAGAGTAACTTGAACATCTTGTCTTTGAGAAAGGAAAAGTATCAAAGACTAATGAGGTCATGTTGAAAGGATTCACTAGCAAGCACATTATTCTTCAATTCAAAAGTTAAATTTAAAAAACAAACTCAGAAAATAATTTGAGGAGCCTCCTCCTCAAAAAAGATGGAACAATATGAGCATCAATTAGAATAATTACTGAAATGTATTCAAACATATCAAGAATGTTAGTCTTCAGTTAATGTTCCTAAAGAGAGAAATTGGTCACCTTGGAGATTAACAGGGAGTCAAATCAGACTTCTGAAACAGCTAAATAAAGGGAAAGAATCAAACACTTAATCTGACTTTCTGGTCTAAACTGTTATTAGGGTAATCAAAATGGTTGTTGAAGGAAATCCCGCCCCCCCCCTTTTTTCAGATGTATTTCAGCTAACAAATGAAGAAAAATGAGCTCTGGCCAGGTGGCTCAGTTGGTTGGTACTTCGTCCCATACAACAAAAGGTTTCAGTTTGATTCCTGGTTAGGGCACATACGTAGGTTGCTGGTTCAGTCCCAGTCGGGGCAACGAATCTATCTCTCTCCCTCTCTCTCTCTCAAAAAAAAAAAAATCAATAAAATGATATCCTTAATGAGGACTAAAAAAAAAGAAATGAGAGAATTACAGTATCGCCATTTTGCAACCCTTAATGAACAATGAATCTAAACAATCAATGGTCACAGTGGCTGTAACCATAGAAAAGAGACAACTGTGCCAAAACCGGTTTGGCTCAGTGGATAGAGCGTCGGCCTGCGGACTGAAAGGTCCCAGGTTCGATTCCGGTCAAGGGCATGTACCTGGGTTGCGGGCACATCCCCAGTAGGAGATGTGCAGGAGGCAGCTGATCGATGTCTCTCTCTCATCGATGTTTCTAACCCTCTATCTCTCTCCCTTCCTCTCTGTAAAAAAATCAATAAAATATATTAAAAAAAAAAAAAAAAAAAAGAGACAACTGAACATTATAAACATTACTAGAGGCCTGATGCACGAAATTTGTGCATGGGTAGGGTCCCTAGGCCTGGCCTGCGATCAGGGCCGATCTTCTGCAGCTGCCAGCATCCGGTCCCTCCCCCCGCTACCAGTCTGTGTGTGGGGCAACTGGTAGGGTGATCCGGGCCCCGCTCACTTGCACCCACCTTGGCCTGGAGCCACCCACGTCCACCGCCACCCACCCCTGGTTCCCCGTTCCCCATCGGGTGATCGGAGCCTGCTGGCTAGGGGGGAGAGACTGAGAGGTTGGCTGGCAGGCCCCAATCAGGCAATCAGGGCCTGTGGGCAGCTTCTGCTTCAAGGGTCTGCCCCCTGGTGGTCAAAGCATGTCATAGCAACCGGTCGTTCCGCTGTCCGGTCATTTTGCATTTATATATATATATATATATATATATATATATATATATATATATATATATATATATATATATATGCCTCTTAATGGAAGAAAACACCATTACCTATGAGGTAGTCTTGCCAAATATGAAACTGAAACCAAAGCAAGCTCTAGATCAGTGGTTCTCAACCTTCCTAATGCCGCGACCCTTTAATACAGTTCCTCATGTTGTGGTGACCCCCAATTTCACTGTTACAAATTGAACATAATTAAAGCATAGTGATTAATCACAAAAACAATATGTAATTATATATGTGTTTTCTGATGGTCTTAGGCGACCCCTGTGAAAGGGTCGTTAGACCCCTAAAGGGGTCGTGACCCACAGGTTGAGCACTGCTGTTCTAGATCAAACTACTAGAGTACAGGATATGTAAGGGACAAAGGAACCTATTGGGTGACAACACAGAAAGACAACCAGCAAAATTCAAGATGTGGGAAAACTACAGGACAAGTTATTTGGTTTCTTCAACAAATACAGGGTAACAAAAACGAGGAGGAGGACCTATAGACTAAGAGACTTAGGAGACATAACAACCAAAAGTGGACTTTGTTTGGACCCTGTTTGGAACAAATCTACTGGGGAAAAAAATGATGTGGGATATTTGAATACTGACAAGTGATAATATATAGAGAATTATTTTAGGGGGTACAATGGTGGTATTTTAGTTATTTTTTTTCAGGCTTCATCTTGTTTTATTCTTTTTCCCCCCTTTTATAATTGAATTTATTGGAGTGATAATGGTTAATAAAATTATATAGGTTTCAGGCGTACAATTCTATACTACATCATCTGTATATTGTATTGTGTATTCAACTCCCCAAGTCAAGTCTTTAAAGGGCTCCTTAAGGCATAAATCTTCTCAGATTTTCAAAATAATCTTTAGGTGGGGGTATTATTGAAATAAACATGGCCCTGGTATGGACAGATGGCAGTTTTTTTTATCCTGCTTTTGGGTATGTTTGAAATTTCCCATACTAATAGTTTCTAGAAAAATCTAACTTCTAAAAATAACTTTGTGTCCTAACTTAGGTGAGACATAGACATATATGGAAATACTTTATTCTAAAGTATTGTTTCCCAACATTTTTTCATTATTACCCCTTAAGAAGCCCATAAAAGACATTTTTCATGAACTCCCCCACCCCACGCCCATGAATTGTTAATACCACATAAACATATACAGTTAATACAGAAATGAGAATAATCTCAGTGTACACCAACAGGAAAATGCATACATTGTCACAAACTTGTGCAATGGAAAACTGCCCACAAAGAAAACGAATGAACGGGAGCCACAGAGATAAACACCACTTGCAGAAGGACAGGCTCAGTTCACGCCTCTTAGGTTAAGGTTAAAAGCGTATAGAACAATGCTCCTAGTGCTTTGCTGTAGGAGTGTGGGACCTATAGAGAGGGTGGGAGGCAGGGCTTCAATCATATCTGTGATGTTTTAAGCAGTGGGCATGCAGGTGATTTATGTTGTTTTCTATACTTTTTTCAATTAAAAAAAATAAAGAATTCACCTTATATTCCCAGAGATTTTGGGGGGGCTTCACGCCTAGTGCTTTGACACGCTCCAATTCCATGAGGATGGCTCTTCTGTGGCTGCTGTTTTCTATGATATATGGTGCCCTTGAAAATTCTTCCTCTGTTAAAGTTAAAAGCAATCTGTGGTGGAGAAGGTGACAGGAGAATTTTTTTTGAGGTTGTGTACTGGAAGGAAACTTTCCACAGAGTTCCATCTTATCAACACAAATACTTTAGCCTTGAGGTAAGGTAAGACACCTAATATGTAAAATACCATTAATAACAGCAAACAATTGACTGCTTACTATTTGCCAATGACTATGTGAAAATACTTTCATAGCTCTGGCCGGTTTGGCTCAGTGGATAGAGCGTCGGCCTGTGGACTCAAGGGTGCCAGGTTCGATTCCGGTCAAGGGCATGTACCTTGGTTGCAGGCACATACCCAGTGGGGAGTGTGCAGGAGGCAGCTGATCGATGTTTCTCTCATCAATGTTTCTAACTCTCTATCTCTCTCCCTTCCTCTCTGTAAAAATCAATAAAATATATTTTTAAGAAAAAAAAAAGAAAAAGAAAATACTTTCATAAATCATCACTGATCCATTTAACAATTCTGTAGGGTAAGTGGCCTTATGCCCATTTTGTGGATGAGAAAACTGGCTCAGAGAAATAAAGTGACCTACCCAAGCCACACCCAGGCCTGCTTTGCTCCTAACCTTTGATCTTTCAGCTATGCACTCTGATCTCTCACATATTACTGTTTTTTATTTTTCCTTTTTTCTAAACATCAAAAGTGGGACAATTTTATTTATTTATTTATTTATTTATTTATTTATTTATTTGATTGGGGGGGGGGGAGAGAAACAGAGAGACATCAATGTGAGAGAGAAACACTGATTGGTTGCCTCCTGTAGGTGCCTCAACTGGGGATCAAACCCACAACCTGGATATGTGCCTTGACCTGGAATCGAATCTGACACTTTCTGGTGTATGGGATGACGGACGCTCCAACCAACTGAGCCACACTGGCCAGGGCTTGCTCTGTTTTTTAAAATTGTGTGTGCATAGAAAAAAAGTTGGGAAGAAAGCCAATAAAACATTATGACATTAGAAGTAGTTGTTTCGGGGTAGTGATTTAATAAAAATAATTGTAGATGTCTTATCTATCCCCTTTCATCAGAAAACACAAATCCACCTGCACAGTGATTCACTGTTAGAAACTCCCTTGCGCACTGGCAGGTGAGCCCCACACCACTGTTGGAGGACTGTGCACTGATGTCCTTTGTGGGCAATTTGCTAATATTTAAGTAGCAAAGATTTACTCCCTTTGATCCAGCAATTCCAGTTTTAGGAATCTGTCCTCTGGAAGAAAGGCAGTTATGCAAAGATATGTTGTATTAACTAGAATGTTTTTTAAAACCACAATTCTGGGCTGGGGGAGGGAGCACACTAACTTTTACACAAAAAATCCCCCAGACAATTACAGTGGGAGCATTCTGTTTACACAAAAGAGAGTCAAATATTAGAAGTTCAGTTCAGGGAGGAAAGTGACTGGGGTGGGAAGTGGGACAGTCAGGCAGCCTGGCAGTGAGTGGACTCCAAGTTTGAAACAAGCAGCTCCTCTCAGCACTGCATGGTGTTCTAAGTAACATCCCTACACAGTCCCTCCAAGGAAGGGAGGGATCCCAGCAAAGATGGACAGTGCTCTGGAAGGGCAGGGGCTTGTTGATGGGCAGAAGCAGGCCTCCTCAGAGCAACTTATCAGTTCCTCATACTAATGCGTTCCTCCAGGTACTTGCTACAGTGTGTGTGAAACTGTCTATAAAAGGAAAAAAATAATCCAAATATTTTTTGGTAGAGATCAATTAAATAGACTCTAGCACAGAGGTTGCCAACCTTTCGGACCTCACAGACCATCAGTGGTCTGAGGACCACCAGTTGGCAACCGCTGCTCTACCATATATACATGCATGTGTCTATATGTACATGTACACAAATATGTAAATATAGACACAGATCTATTTAGTGCACCGTATTTTCAGTTTAAAACAGTTTGACAGTTCCTCAAAAAGTTAAACACACACTTATGACCCAGCAATTGCACTCCCAGAGTACTGAAATATATGTCCACACAAAAACTTGTACACAAATGATCACAGTGGAATTGTTCATAATAGGCCCAAACTGGAATCAACCCAAATCTCCATAAACTACAGAATGGATAAATAAAATGTGGTATAGTCACATAATGGAATATTATTCAGCCATAAAAATGAATGCTACAACTTGGATGGACCCTTAAAACATGATATGAAAAAGCCAGACATAAAAGGCCACATATTGTATAATTCCATTTATATGAAATACTCTGAATAGGCAAATACACAGAGACAGAAAGTAGAATGGTGGTACATAGGGCAGAGTGATGGGGGATACAAGGATTGAGCTTTCTTTTTGGGGGTGATGAAAATGTTCTAAAACTAGAACATTATCATATCTGTGAATACATTAAAAACCACTGACTGCCCTAACCGGTTTGGCTCGGTGGATAGAGCGTTGGCCTGCAGACTGAGGGGTCCCAGGTTCGATTCCGGTCAAGGGCATGTACCTTGGTTGTGGGCATATCCCCGGTGGGGCGGGGTGGGGAGGGTGCAGGAGGCAGCTGATTGATGTTTCTAGCTTTCTATCCCTCTCCCTTACTCTCTGTAAAAAATCAATACGATATAAAACAAAACAAAACAACAAAAAAACCCAACCCACTGACTATACACTTTAAATGGTGAATTTTCTGGTATGTAAATATGTCTCAATAAAGCTGTTTTAAAAAATTTGCTCCTCACCTTCCATTTACTCTTTCGGCTAAAAACCTGTCTCTGTAGAGAGAGGCCCAAGGGCCCAGGCCCAAGGGCCCAGCTGCTCCAGCCAGAGGACAACTTCTTCCGCTGTCCATTTGGCCACAGCCTTGTGGACCAGCTGCTCCAGTGATACACGAGCAGGACCACCTGGGGAAAAGTGACAAGGACTTTAAGACACAGAAAAGTTAGGGGTGCCAGTTTCTAAATATGTGAATGTGGGGCAGGGAAGGGAAGAGGCTGAGCTAGCAGGGAATTATGCCAAGTCTGTACACAGAAGCAGGGCAAGGCCAGTGCCAGAAAGCGGGGGAGCACAACTCTTGGCAGGCTCAACTCTCTGCTGATTGTTGGGTCGTAGGGGAACAGAGACAGGAGCGGGAGGGACTCTTCACAGGGTGCCTGGGAACACCGAACCCATGACTCCATCAACCCGGCCAACATGACTAACTCATGTGCTTTTTCTATTGAAAAATTTATAACATATAGATTTCTGTAGCATGGAACTTAAATAAAGGAAATAGTCTTTACATTGGGAGTTAGTAAAAGGCTGTGCTCAGGACACTATCAAGGCAGACATGGTCTCATATTCCAGTTCTGACACGTATTTCCTCATCTCTAAAATGGGAGGAAGATGAAATGAGAGAAAGCTAACATTTACTGGGCTCTGACTATTATGTTGTCGACTTGAGTAAGCAACATCCTCAAAGACTCATACAACCCAGCAGATTTCAGTGAATGCACTGAATTACCACAAACAGCTATGTCATCAATCATTTAGGTTATTTAAACAGAACTGACTTCAGTAGAAACCCTGGGAGGTGGGGACAGTGAAAAAGTTATCAACTTACTGCCACACCAGTTAAAGCTGAGAGCACTCCTGAAAAGAATCCCCCTCCTCTCTGCTGATTCACTCGGCCTGCGTTGGGAGCTAAAGAAATCTGATCATTCCCATATTTTTGAAAGGCTGCAAGGCTCTGGACTATGTCATTATTCTGCTGAACGTCTTCCAATCGCATCCTAACGGCATCAGGAAATAACTTTTCAATGGCATCCCTATGGAGAACAGAAAAAAATCACAACAGAGTTGTTTTGCTAAATATACTTACAATGTCTAAAAGCCAAAACAATACTGTCAACATTTAATAATATGCAAGTACTCTAGTACTTTTGAAACAGTAAAAAAATGGGAAATGACCCATTTTTAGGGGACATATTAGGAAAACAGCTAAATAAAACACAGTATATTCATACAATGGAACACTACATAGCTTTAAAAATGAATTTACTGGATATCACTGTTTATCAAGATGGATAAATTTAAGACATACATAGTGTTGAATGAAAACAGTAAACTTTAATTGATTTTTTTTTTTTACAGAGAGGAAGGGAGAGGGATAGAGAGTTAGAAACATGGATGAGAGAGAAACATCGATCAGTTGCCTCTTGCACACCCCTTACTGGGGATGTGCCCGCAACCAAGGTACATGCCCTTGACCAGAATCGAACCTGGGACCCTTCAGTCTGCAGGCTGACGCTCTATCCACTGAGCCAAACCGGTCAGGGCTGAAAACAGTAAACTTTAGAACTATACAGATAGAATACCACTGATATGAGAAAGTGTTTGCATTTCTTATTGGCATATATATATATATATATATTTTAAAGTCTGAAAGAAATCACAACTAAGTCATAACTGAAGTTACTCTGGGACAAAGGAAGGAAGGATTATAAGATGGAGAGGGGGTCAAAGGGATTTTTAGCTTTATCAGTAATGCTCTAATATTTTAAAAAGAATGTAAACAAATGAATGTATGTATGTATTGCTTAGGTTATTAAAAATTAATTCGTGCCCTGGCCGGATAGCTCAGATGATTAGAGCATTGTCCCAATACACCAAGGTTTGATTCCTGGTCAGGGCACATACAGTCAACCAATGAAAGCATAAAGAAATGGAACAAATCAGTGTTTCTCTATCTCTTTCTCAAAAAAAAAAAAAATTAATTTGTAAAAAAAGAAAAATGTCACCCTGACCGGTTTGGCTCAGTGGATAGAGCATCGCCCTGCAGGCTGAAGGGTCCCGGGTTTGATTCCGGCCAAGGGCATGTACCTTGGTTGCGGGCACATCCCCAGTCGGGGGTATGCAAGAGGCAGCTGATCGATGTTTCTCTCTCATTGATGTTTCTGACTCTCTAGCCGTCTCCCTTCCTCTCTGTGAAAAATCAATAAAAAATATATTTAAAAAAAAAAAGAAAAGAAAAAAGTGAAGTTGAGTAGTAAGAGAAAAGATTAACCATCAAGACCAAAGTGTTTGTAAATACACCTCCTGTGAAAAAGAGAAAGTTGAATTAATGTTTTCATGGAACTTTTTGGTACTCTATTAATACCAAAACAACAACAGAAGAAGAGACAAGGAATTTAGTCTCAAAGACCTCATAATAAGCAACATCCCCAAAGAACTTTAAACATTACGAACATTATGAGTGGAATAACCTGATAACTGAAAGGTGTATTGCCATTTATTGTGTGATGCTATGTATGCAATAGAACCTACTTCAATTAATGTGTTAGCTGGCACAGAGGTTAGTCAAAGACTATGAAAGTCAGCATCAAACCAGTTATTCAGAATTATAGTTACTAGAGGCCTGGTGCACAGATTTGTGCAGCGGTGGGGTCCCTTGGCCTGGCCTATGGGGATCGGACCGAAACTGGTAGTCCGACATTCCCCGAGGGGTTCTGGAGTGCGAGAGGGCACTCTGTAAATTTGCTCAGCAGATCCTGCCCCCTGGTGGTCAGTGCGCGTTATAGCTACTGGCTGGTCGGCCAGTCACTTAGGCTTTTATATATATAGATAGCATTTTCCCCATTAGACCTAGAGTGTTTTCATTGAATACACATCAATAAAAAGTATTATATGGCCTGGCTGGTGTGCCTCAGTGGTTGAGCGATGACCTGTGAAGCAGGTCACAGTTTGATTCACGGTCAGGGCACATGCCCAGGTTGCAGGACTGATCCCTAGTGGGGGGTGTGCAGGAGGCAGCCAATCAATAATTCTCTCTCATCACTGATGTTTCTATCTCTCTCCCCCTCTCCTTTCCTCTCTGAAATCAATTAAAAAATATATATACATATATATATATTTAAATATATTTTATTGATTTTTTACAGAGAGGAAGGGAGAGGGATAGAGAGTTAGAAACATCGATCAGCTGCCTCCTGCACACTCCCCACTGGGTATGTGCCCGCAACCAAGGTACATGCCCTTGACCGGAATCGAACCTGGGACCCTTGATTCCCCAGGCCAACGCTCTATCCACTGAGCCAAACCGGTTAGGGCTAAAAAAATATTTTTAAAAAAGTATTATATGGCAAAGGATTACAAGCAATGGTCTGATAAGGAGAATTTCTTTTATTTATAACAAATATAAACAAATCACAGTCACCTATGAGGAAGGGAGTTTGGATTTTCAGGTCCTTGAGCTCCCTGATTTACATTCCAGCAAATCCAGAATGACCACAGTGGAGGTCAGCTCTGTGTGTCTGTTTTTCAGACATGGCTGCCCCATTAAGAGAAACCATATCGAACAAGCAGTATGTGCTACCAACATGGACTGAGCATACCTGAGGAGAATATTGACTTTGGGGAAACCTTCCCATTTTTCTCTGCATTCTGGACACTCTGTTTTCTTTGAAGAGGTCCACCATAAAGCTAGGCAGTGCCGGCAGAAGCTGTGCCCACAGTTCAAGGTGGTGGGGTTAATCAGGATGTCGTAACAGCAGTGGCAAGAAAATTCACTAACAGAAATCTGAGGGCTGGTGCTCTCGAGGGGATCATCTTTCTCAAGGGTCATCGTGTTCAGGTCATGTTGCTGAGACTCCTCCATCTCTTAGCAAATTGTGGGATTCACAGGCATAGAAAATTTCAGACTTAGAATACTGCTGTAAAGCATCGTTAAATCTAGAAAAAGAGAGAGACAGCAACAGAAATAGGACAATTAGTTTAGTAGGTATTTGAGATTACTGCCATTCAATTAAAGCTAATTTTTAAATGTGACACATTTGATTTCTAAAAATTCACATTCCAAAAACCAGATAAACATTATTGAATTTCTTCCTGGCCTGTCTTACTTTTGAAAATTAGGTAAAGCAAAATAGTGTAGTGGCAAGTTCAACAGACTTGGGAGGCAGTGTGAATTCTAGATCCTACTCTTTCACTAATTTCTTCTGAAAATGTAATTTCTCTAGTCTCAGTTTTCTCAATTAAAATCTTTTCAGTGGGTGTGATTTAAAATAAACCAGCTTCTTGGCCCGGTGAAATGTCTGGAGTTGGCAATAATAGATGTATTTCAGTTTGGCTCAGTGAATAGCGCGTCGGCCTGCAGACCAAAGTTCCCGGGTTCAATTCCGGTCAAAGGCATCTACCTTGGTTGCAGGGTCCTCCCTGGCCTGGGCCCTGATCGGGGCTCGTGCAGGAGGCAATCAATTGATGTGTTTCTCTCACATTGATGTTTCTCTCTTTCCCTCTCTCTTCTGCTCTCCTTAAAAATCAATGGAAAAATATCCTGGAGTGCAGATTAACAACAACAAAATGTATTTCATGTAAATAACACATTTTGTCCAAATAAATCTGCCTTTCCTTTAGGTAATTATTTATTTCATAGCCATTTGATTTCAGAGGCTCCCACAGGAGCAGTTCCAAGAAGTAAGTGAAGCCTTTTTTTTGAGGTGCTCTGTGCCCGATCAACCCCACCATGGCTCAATATTACCCTTTTCCCCAAATCAACCCAAACATGCATATCATGCCCTCTGGATCTGGCCAATTTGGTGCCAGAGAAATATGCTAATATCACTAATATGCAAATGGCAAAGGATCCATTCTCTTCTTATTCTCATCTAAGGCTCATGAGACTTTTTTATTAAGAGGCAGTATGATGGAGAATACCATGGAGTTAGAATCTCAACTCTCCAACTCACTAGCTCTGTGACTGTGCATAAAATTTCTTGAGCTCCCTGGGCCTTTTTGTCAGCTATGAAATGGTGGTAACAATACAAAACCTTTAAGACTTACTGTGAGGACTAGAGACCATGACAGTAAAGTGGCTAGGAGTGTGGTTAAACAGGGGCTAAAAAATGATTATTCATTGTGTTCCTGGTATTATCACAGTGTAGGCACTAGTGGGTGAGTTTCTCAATGTCGCTATTGTGAAAGAAAAAATGTAAATCAGTCACACTGATCACACTGAGTTCAGTTTACACTTTGCAGGCACAGTAGGTACGAACACAAGTCCCAAGTCTGGCCAGTGTTGCTCAGTGACTGAGCGTTGACCCATGCCCCAGGAGGTTGCCAAATTCAATTCAGGGTTGCAGGCTTGGTCCCCAGTAGGGGACATGAAGGAGGCAGCCGATGATGTTTCTCTCTCATTGATGTTTTATCTGTCTCTCCCTCTCCCTTCCTCTCTCTGAAATCAATAAAAACATATTGAAAAAAAGAAAAGAAAAAAAGAACACAGGTCCCAGGATTGGGCTGCCTTGGTTCTTACCCCACCTCTGCCCTTTACCAGTTGTGGGTCTCGACCTCTTTGAGTCTCAGCTTTCTCAAGTATAAATGGGGGTGGTAATAGATTTACCTCATCAGGAGTTTTTTTGTTTGTTTGTTTATTTTTAAGATTCCAAGAATTTTTATCACCAGTTGAAGAGTCCATATTAACCTGAGAATATGGGTCACTCTGTATCACTGAATCAATCTTTTTTTAAAAAAGGCATTTTTCAATTACAGTTGACATTCAATATTATATTTGTTTCAGCTATTCATTAGGAGGTTTTAAGGATGAAATAAGAGAATGCAAGTAAAGTGCCTAGTACAGAGCTGGGCATATGGCAATTTACCTGATTTTCAAATGCAGTGATAAGGGAATTTTATCACCCTTTATAAGGTGAACATTTTTACATAGAACATGATAACACTATAATTTAAATTAGCAAATCTATAAACAAAGACTAGAAGAAAATACAATGAAGTATTAGTAGTGGGTGTGTTGAGTGGAGAGGGTCATGATTGTTTGGTTTTTCTTTGTACTTATGGAGTTGTTCTTAATGAAAATGTCTGACATTATAATAATTGTAAAATATATATATATAAAATTATAAAAAGTATACTGTATTATATTTCTTTTGGCCAAACACTAATGGGAGATTTTCAACTCAGAATACTAACAGAACTAAATTTTAAGCTTAGTGTTAATTTTTTTTTTTAAATATATTTTATTGATTTTTCACAGAGAGGAAGGGAGAGATAGAGAGTTAGAAACATCGATGAGAGAGAAACATCGATCAGCTGCCTCCTGCACATCCCCTACTGGTGATGTGTCCGCAACCCAGGTATATGCCCTTGACCGGAATCGAACCTGGGACCCCTCAGTCCGCAGGCCGACGCTCTATCCACTGAGCCAAACCAGTTCCGGCGAAGCTTAGTGTTAATTTAAATAAATAATAGTTATTTACAATTGATGGTAGCAAAGAGGGAAATAATTTTTTGTATAGGTCTATTAAAAACTGTTCTATTTGAGCCCTGACCAGTTTGGCTCAGTGGATAGAGAGTTGGCCTGGGAATCAAGCGGTCCCAGGTTCGATCGGTGTTTCTCTCTCATCGATGTTTCTAACTCTCTATCCCTCTCCCTTCCTCTCTGTAAAAAATCAATAAAATATATTAAAAACAAAACAAAACGTTCTATTTGGAAGAAAAGAATCTAAATAAATGTTCTTAATGACAAATTCTAAATTATTTCTGATAATCACATTTGCTCATTACTTGTATGTTTAGGAACACTTTTTGTTGTTATTAATCCTCACCTGAGGATATATTTTCTATTGATTTATTTTTTATTTTAGAGATAGCAGAAAGGAGGGTGAGATGGGGAGAGAGAAAAAAAATCAATGTGAGGACAGGGAAGGCTGGGGGCAGGGGTAGCAGAGAGTGAACCTGCAACCCAGATACGTGCCTTTGACCAGGAATTGAACCTGAGACCCTTTGATGCACAGGCTGATGGTCTAACCACTAAGCACCCTGGCCAGGGCTATTTAGGAACCTTGAAAAATTTTCTAAGTGCTTTACTTTGTACAGTCTCTTCAAATTGCTAAAGAAGTGAGAGATCTTATATATAGGTTTTTGGAAAAAGAAATCATTTTGAGTAGTTTCTTTACTTGGTTAATAGTTATTAAACAACTACCATGTGGATAGTATCATCCCAGGAAATAACTGAAACACTGCTATTTATTGAACTTTTCCTATGAGCTTGGACATTGGGAAGGCCCTTTAGGTACATTCATATTCACATCTGGACTCAGTGTCAAAGGAAAGATACAAGGCTTCCATTGAGGGCTGGGCAAGGGGTCAGAAAAGATGGGCCTGACTTGGGCGCTGCTCTCAGTATTTTCATAGGGAGCAATGAGTGATATAGGAGCTACAGGTCAGATACAGGGTTTTATGTGCCTGGTTAAAGACAGGTGAGCCAATGGGAGCACATAAAGGTTTCAGAGGCAATGAGATCAGATAGCTGTGCATTAGGATAATAAATCTCATCAAGAAGGATTAGGTTGGAACAAGTTACAAATGAACTGTTATCACTGCTGGAACTAAGGTGACAAAAATGAAAATGGCAAAGGTAGTAAAAGAAAGGGATCAATCTATCTAGAAGATGTTAAGAAAATAATTTATGGGCTCTGGTTGGGTAGCTCTGTTGGTTAGAGTGTTGTCCCGATACATCAAAGTTATGAGTTTGATCTCTGGTAAGAACACATACAAGAGGCAACTGATGAATGCATGAATAAGTGGAACAAATCGATGTTTCTCTCTTTTCTCTAAAATCAATAAAAACAGAATAGTAGTATTTCTAATAATAATAATAATAATAATAATTATTATTATTATTTGTGGACTTTGGTGCCTAGAGAGAAAGAAAAATCCAAGATGCTGGCTAGGTTTCAGAACTGGGGAAGAAGAACAGTACATCTGATAGAAATAGGTCACTGTAAACAGATGGGGCCATCTTGGAAAGGTTAGTTGGATTTTAGAAAAGTTGAGTTTGAGGTGATGTACAACTGTCTAGTGAGCAACTGGAGACACAAACAGAAGTTGGGAGTTAAAAGTGAGGCCAAATGCCCTGGTCAATTTGGGTCAGTGGACAGAGCATTGGCCCATGGATTGAAGGGTCCCAGGTTCGATTCTGGTTAAGGGCACATACCTTGGTTGCAGATTCGATCCCCAGCCCTAGTTGGGGTGTGTGTGGGAGGCAACCAATCGATGTGTCTCTCTTACATCAATATTTCTGTCTCACCCCTCCCTTCTACTCTCTCTATAAATCAATGAAAAATTGCCTCAGGCGAGGATTAAAAAAAAAAAAGAGTGAGGCCAAGTGTATGAATTTCAGTCATTTGCAGAGAAATGACTGTATATGAAGTTAATTTCTCACAAATTAGCCTTTTAAAACTAGAATGCCCCAGTAGTTCCTAGCTTACCAGATCTGAAAGTTTGTTTTTCATGAGAGAAAACAAATCACCCACTGACATCAAAGTGTATTTCATAACTCATATTTTGAAAAATTGAGGTGGCCACTGTTTGATAATTGTCTTCAACAAACTAAAAACTGCATGCACTTTGGACTACACCTTAGGAATTTGGCTAGTTTCATTTTACCCTAAATTCAAAAAGTGAAAGTTAACAGAAAAAATACACATCTTAACCAAATTCAGTAGATCTTTTCTGCTGTTTCTACCTGTATGTATTAGGGTTATTGCCATTAAAAAAAAAAAAAAGCAGTACTTCTAAAGGATGAAAGTGCCTCTTCAGTGATAAAATCGAGCTGAGACACTAAAGTTCCCAGCTGTGGGTTCTGACTAAACACACCCTCCTCCGCTGGTTGTGATTAAATGCTTCTTTGAGAAGGCCCAGTGTTCATGAGG